CACCTGAAGCAAATCGATGTTAATATCACTTTGCCACTTATCGAAGACCAGTACCTAGTTGCAGCAATAAAACTACTCAAACATCACTTTTACTTTGACATTCTTTCCACCACCTTTATTATCAAAAAAGAGTTACCTGACCCAGGCTTGACTCTTCTTCCATGCCTCTTTTAATCATGACAACATCCACAACTAACTTAATACCCTTCCTTGTCACAACACCTTCACATTCCAATTCCCCACCAACTATTAAAAATCTTCTTACAATTTCAACACTCAATGTTAGAGGCCTCAATCAAAAAGACAAGTTAAACGAAATTATCGGCACCATTGAAAATGAAAGAGCAATCTTCTGCTGCACCGAAACAAAAATTTCATCCAACAATTAACAAACAGAATTAGAGACAAAGTTATTATAGCAAGCAAACCCAGCCCCTCAGTCAGCAACGGCACGTGCCTAATATTTTCCTCAAACATCTCATGTCACATTTTCAAAACCTATACGGAAAACGAATATTGGTGTGCAACCCACTTAAAATTCAAACCCAAAGTAGACATCGTTATAGCTGCAATTTATCTACCACATGACAGAGCAGACCGCCTCACAGCCGTAACATCCCTTAAGAGATTTCTCAACAACCACAAAACCAAACATCAAATTATTACCGGTGACTTCAACTCATACCCAAAAGGTGCCCCATCCATCAACGCCCCTACCATGCCCCATAAGCAACAAGTTTACAAATTCATAGGGAACTTAATTGATATTGCCAAAGTCACCAACAAGCAACACCAATACATACATATCACAAGTACTAGTGCCTCAAGGCTGGATCAGACCTGGATTTCAGTAAATCAAGCAAGTAAAGTCCTAAGTTATAAAGTATCCGACCAGTCATTCATCCCCACAGATCACAAAATGATCACTATAGTGCTCGACTGGTTCGAATACAAACCAGATTGTATCTCCTTTACTATCAAAACTTACCAATTTGACAAAGCAAACAAAGAGCAAATAGAAGCCATACAGGAGTCTATCGAATTGGCTTGCACAAGAGCGAATAACCTCTCCTGGGAAGAAATCAACTTAATTTTTAAAGATGCAATGAATAGTAACATCCCTATTAAGCAACAAATGGTACCTACATCACTGGCAATGGCATTCCCCAAATTCGATAACAACATTAAAGCAGCAAAAAGGGCAATAAACAACATCCGTAATAACAAAGCACCTAGCAAGCTTTCACAAATGAGTCTAATGATTCACAGAAACCTTACCAACCATTCTCTCTCCATTAAAACCCTCAGAAAAGTCATCAAAGTTCTCTTGAATGAGAAAATAGAGAAAGCAAGGCAACTTGCAACCGATGGGATCTGAGACTGTATTGAAAAAAACTTCTACAAATTTTGGGAAAAACCAAAAGCAGCAATTAAAAAAGCCCTAGGGAACCTGAAACCATCCCTAGATCTCTCTATCTTATCGGATGGTGACGAACTTCATGACGACCCTGACAAACTTGATGAAATTATTATTAACCACTTCAAAAGTATCTTAAGTGTCAAGCCCTTTAGCCTCAACCAGCTGTGGACACATGAATATTCCCCCAAAGATTCACTTCCCACCAATATTTTCGACGAAGCAATAGCAGAAATTATTCTGGATGAAATCAATGCCACACTTGCCAATCTCCCTAAAAAAAAGTCACCCGGCCTAACTGCAATACTGTACGAACTTTGGATAAACCTGGACCCATCTGCAAAATTGCACATAAAAAAATTCTTTAATTCAATCATAAACTCTGACAACCTCCCAATTCACTGGAAATACTCAATTGTGACTCTACTGCCAAAAAAAATTGTCTGGTCTCACGAACTAGCCGATACTTGACCAATTTCTCTTATCGAAACCAGCAGAAAAATCTATACTAAAATTATTAACAACAGGTTGTCCGAAATCATCTGCAAAAACAAAATCCTGTCTAAAAACTCTTTCACAGAAATCAAAAACCAAAGCACTATGGAATCTATAGCGATAATCTCATCTAAACTTGAAGCCTCAAACAATCTCAACAGAGAACACTGGATCGCCTCCTTTGACATCTCCAAAGCCTTCGACTCTGTAAACTTTGATAGCCTGGAATCAGCCATGAAACGAATCAAACTTCTCTTACAAATAATCAATTTCATCTTAAACCTCCTCCAAAACTGAAAATTGAGTTTCATAACATACTACGAACTTTCTGACCCAATAACAATAAATAACGGATTAGACCAAGGAGAGACCCTGGCACCCCTATTATGGACCATATTCTATGACCCAATGGTAAACAAAATAACAAAGTAGCTCCCTGACAAAGCGAGAGTCCTCACATATATGGATGATGCAGCAATTTCAAGCAACTCCCTACAAAATTTACAAGAAGCACTGACATATTCTGCTCCTTCCTCAAGTTAAACCATATCAAGTATAACAAGAAAAAAACAGACCTTATAACAAACCTAAAACCCCTACATCCAAACAGACAGAACTCACTACAAGTTGAAGACGAACCAATCCGAGCTAAACCATATAATGAAGCCATCAAATACCTTGGCATCTTCCTCTCAGGAAAATTCTCTAATCTATCAACTCGTAAAGCCCTTAACGAGAAAATAAAAAAGTTCACATCAGCCATAGTAAACCAAAAGTCATGGAATGGGCAAATCATCAAACAAGTATCCCATTGGATCATTCCTGCATAGCTAGAATATGCCACACACATTTCCTTCACAATGAGCACAGAAATAAACTTCCTTCAAGCCAAACTTAACAAAGCAGTAAAGTCAAAACTTGGTGTCGAATGAACAATCTCTAACAAGGTTACCCACTCCAAAGCAGGCCTTGACATAGTTAACTTGAAAAATAGAAGA